CTCACGCACAGGATCGGCACCATCGGTACTGCCGCGCGTACCCGGGCTGGGGCGGGGGAAAGAACCGCGGGCGCTTCGGGTGTCCCCGGCGTGAGAGCTTTTGGGGTGTCCCTGTGTCCCTTCCCCAGGGGAGATGTCCTGCAACCCGTCCTTCGGCGGCATCGGGAAGGGGCACCTCATGCGGGAGGTGGACGCTCTGGACGGGCTGTGCGGCCGCGTCTGCGACCGCTCCGGCGTCCACTACAAGGTGCTGAACCGCTGCAAGGGCCCGGCCGTGTGGGGCCTCCGCGCACAGATCGACCGCGGCCTCTACAAGGAGAACATGCAGGTGAGAGCGGGGCCGGGAGGATTTTTTGGTATTAGGTTTTAGTATAAACTACTGAAGATGATGAGGGAGGGACGCACGTTTTGTTTTTCATTATTTACCTAGCTAGATACGTTGCTGTTCGGTACTTTAATGCACCGTAGGTTGTTGGAGCTCAGCATACTTTAAAAAATTCTCCAGCATTTTAGAAACAGGTCAGGCTTCACGACTGAATAGTTTCTTTTGATCTTAAACTCTTATCTGAATGAAAATTTCTACTTGATCGATCAGAATAGTACCATAACTGAGTATCTTCCCAGTTATGTGGTAAGAATGGAAGAGGGTGATAGATGTTCTGGAAATCAGCAGGATTTGGGATTGCCCATATGTTTCATAACTTCTTAGATTTTTGCAGTAACTCCTTTCATGACAGAAAGAAATCCTTAACACACCACTGTTGACAGTTCATAAAGCATCTGTGGAAGATCTTATCTTGACAGAGCCAGAATCAGGCCATCCTGGGAAATGCCAAGTTGCGGGAGTCATTCTGGGTATGTGTTAGTAAATCAGTAAGTGCCTCCAGTTACTCCATGCTAAGAGCAGCCTTTGGGATAAACATTTCTGATTTGTCAGTGAGAAAGATGAATTAACAAAGACATCTGGTTTAGACAGAGTGTGAACTAAACTAGGTTAGTATGTGTAATTACAAAGTAGTACAATGACAAAAATACCTGGAGTGATAGGATATCGGGAGGTTACTTAAGTTAATTTTCTTCAGGCTAGTGATATTGAATTCCATGTTGCATTTTGAGATTTTATTTGGTAAATGGCATATGCTGTCGACAATGTTATGGGACCGTGGGGTTCTATTACTAACAGACTCGTACTTTATTACCCCTTGCTGTTCTAATAAACAAGCTTTCTGAAGTAAAGGCCTGGATATGATTTTTTTTCCCAGGAGTGGGTTTTCTGCATTACAAGTAACTTTTTTAGGAATAGTAAAAATACAGGTATAAATACATGCTGCTTATTGCAGTTATTGCTATTAGTGCTTTCATTATTGAAATGCTGCTTTTGTTGTGTAACAGAAGATGGATAAACCCTCAGTGAACACTGTTAGTCTAGTTTTAGACAGAAGCACCACAATACGAGGGCTTTGTTGATACTTAAATGTGTACATTTCTGAAAACTTGCTGTTTTAGGGGATGGGAGCACAGTACACGCTGGGAGTGTTGTCCTGACCACCGGTACCTTTCTGAGGGGTATGATCCACATTGGGCTAGAGATGCACCCGGCTGGGCGACTGGGGGACCAGCCAGCCATTGGGCTAGCTCAGACTCTGGAGAAACTGGGATTTGCTGTGGGCAGGCTGAAGACTGGGACACCACCAAGACTTGCCAAAGACACGATTGACTTCAGTGGTCTGGAGGAACATGGAGCTGACAATCCTCCAGTGCCATTCAGCTTCCTCAGTGACGCTGTGTGGATCAAGGTGGGATAGCGCACGTCAAATGCACATAGAGCCAGCTGGGGAGTGGTTCTGGGAATGTCATGCTCATAATCTGCCAGGGAGTTGGTGGCTGGGAAAGGGAGCTGGGATGTATTTGTACTGGAGGTGTTATGTTTCTGAGGACTCTCAGTGCAAAGGATTCTTTTGTTGTTTGTGTTCTTTTGAAAGCAAGTACCTTCTTACTTTATTTTCTCAACTTGAGAACCAAAATTTTTACTTCTAGAGTCAGAATTGTGTGAAATGGGATACCGATACTAGTATTCTTCATGTGCTGGTTACAGAATACATCTGTTATTATACCTGTATTCTGGAGATTTATAATGTCTTGCTTCTTACCTTAGCTTTAAAATAAAGTTAAAATCTTGAAATTAGAGATCATTAGTAGTATTGACTAAGAAAGAGAAAGGATATAGTTATCCACAGAACTCAGAAGTGGCATATTTACAGTAACTTAAAAGCACAAAAAGCTCAATTTTCCAAAGAAATTTTCCTTTCAAAGAAAATTCTTACATAATGTAGTTGAATAGCACAGAGTTAAGTATCAGGAGTTAATTTTCCCCGGAGCATATAGGAATTCCAATAACCTATTAGAATCAGGATGAGGGTGAAAGTAATATTACTTGAAGTCCTTGGTATGTGTAGGAAAGGTTTTAAGAAGTTAAGGTGCAACATTATTACTGTTTTGAATGTGAGTTTATTGAATTTTTCAGAAAAATCAGTCAAATACTTTACATGGTAGGTTTTTTCCCTAAACTTTGAATTTAATTGCAGAGTTTTGAGATTTTTATCTTTTTTTCTTCACCGAGACATTTCTTTTTTTTTCTTCAACAAAATCTTTTATTGCCTGTTAGCGGTAGGGTCAGCACTTACTTTTCTTGCTCCAGAGCTTTAAGTTCCTGTAGTCAGTTTGAATGCTGTGATATAACGTGTTGCTTTAATGGGAGTATCCATCCTGTAATTAGTGTATGGAATACACTAATTAGTGTATGGAATCCTGTACAGCGTATGGAATAAAACTTGAATTCTACACTTCCAAGTTCTGTTCTGTTCTCAGTCTGCTTTTGGGCATGTTGCTCATGCTCTCTGATTGCTCATGTTCTGTCTGTACAGTGGGTATGACAGCGCTACTTAGCTCTCCAAGAAGCGAGAGCCAGCTGTCATGGAAAAGGTATTGGACATCCTCAGAGTTGTTCAATAAGAATACAGTGTTGTGTCTGGATTAATTTAAAGTGAGCTTTGGCCTCTTTCAGCCAGAAGATCAGCTGCCATGTTACCTGACACGCACTACCCTGAAAGCCCAGCAAATTATCTATGATAACCTCCACCTGAACAACCATGTACGGGAGACAACAAGGGGCCCTCGGTAAGTGTGTGGCATCACGCAAGGCTCTCAAGGGGACAAGTGTCAATCTATTTGGAACTGAGGGGGTATCCTGCTTCACTTCTGCAAAGTTACTTTTTCTCCATATCACATGGTGCTCATGGCCATTTACTGTTGCAGGTACTGTCCCTCTCTCGAATCAAAGGTTCTGCGCTTCCCAAACCGGCAACATCAAGTTTGGCTGGAGCCTGAAGGCTTGGAATCCAACGTCATTTACCCCCAAGGCATGTCCATGACACTGCCACCTGAGCTTCAGGAGCAGGTGATCAAATCCGTCCCAGGTTTGGAAAAAGCCAAGATGATACAGCCAGGTGAGGGGGATGAATAGTTTTAAATCTGTTTGTTACATTGTTTACCA